CAATAAAAGGAAATTTTATCATTCCCATGATCAGCCATACAAGTCCGTAGTTACACACACACACACACCACACCACACAAACACACATACACACACGCACATACAAACACACGCACACACACATACATATAGATTCGAAAGATCAAACTAACAGACATATATAGATACACGCTACACACACACACACACACACACACACACACACACTTACATTCAGGCATACACATATAAACATGCACACACTTACATACATACACACACCACATAGAGCGCGCGCACACACAAATACAAACACACACACACAAATTGAAACACACGTACATACAAACACACACACGCATAAATTCGCATGTAAAACGATAACACAAAACTTACATGTTAACATGTATATGTATCTGAGCCTTTAAGAGCCTGTTGATTAAATAAATAGATGATGAATAAACAACAACAACAACAACAATAATAATAATAACAACAAAATAATAACAACAATAAAAAACATATTATCAATAATATAAATAATTATATTTTACTGAACATATTAATAATTTGATGGCTTTTATTCAAAGTTTTTTTATATGAATTTTCCACATGAAAGCTATTGATTGATTCTTTGTTTGGTTATTTGATTCTTTGTTTGGTTATTCATGATCTTTTGTTTTTACTTCCGGTTTTTTGTTTTTAGTATTCTATGTTTATAAAAAAATATTCGACATGATTTTTTTTTTCAAACAAAATGAACAATGAAATGAAATTCATTCAATCACCCTTAAGATATCGTTCTGATAGACTGAAAGATCATTCATCCAATTTGTTTGACCGTCCATCACATCACATCACATCAACAACAAAACAATAACAACTTCAACAACAACTTCAACAACAACAATAATAACAAATACGTCATCGTCAACAAAAACATCAACAACAATAACGTCACCAACTTTGGTTTTTGACTAGAAAACAACAAACAAACCAGCCAACCACAGCAGCAGCAACAACAACAAAAACAACAACAATAACAACAACAACAACAAAAACAACAACAACAAAAACAACAACAACAAAATGTCCAGTGACGAGGAGAGCCATAGCGGGTAAGTTGAAAATAATTTATTATTATTATTTATAATGTTAATAATAATAATATTATTATTATTATATTATATTATTATTATTATTATTTTATGTAACACCAATTTTTCGAATATTTCCTTCCCTCTATCTAAGGAGCGATTCGGAGGAGGAAGTGATCAAAAAACCAATAAAGTCAGAAATTAATTTGTTAAATTAATTAATTAATTAATTTGGATATAATTAACTAATTTATTAAAAAATATTTATATGAAATAATAGTTATTAGTTTTTTTTAACTTTTTTTAATTTTTTCAGAAGAGAGCCTTCTGAAACTGAACTGGCCATGAAGGTACAGTGATTTTGTTACTTTATGGGATAAGTTAATTAATTTAATAAATTGGTTAATTTATTAATTAAATAACTACCCAGCCAATTAGTTATCTAACTCTTGTTATTTGTTTAAACTAAATTTTAATTAAACGTCAAATAATGATGATCAACTGACAAACTGACCAACAAACCAATCGACCGACTAACCAGCCAACCAACCAACCAATCAACCAACCGACCGACCGACCGACCGACCGACCGACCGACCGACCAACCAACCAACCATCCAACCAACTAAACAACCAACCGACCAACCGACTAACCAACCATCTAACCAACTAAACAACCAACCGACCAGCCGACTAACCAACCAACCAACCAACCAACCATCCAACCAATCAACCAACCATCCATCCAACCAACCACCAACCAACCAAACAACCAACCAACTAAACGACCAACCGACCAACCAACCAACCAACTACCCAACCAACCGACCAACCAACCAACCAACCAACTAACCAACCAACCAACCAACCAACCGACCAACACAGAAGAGACGTGAAGCCCAACAAAACACAGCCGGCCTAGATGACGCTGCCAAAGAACTCCTTGCAAGCAATAGGCAAGATCGAGTAAGAATGGAAGAAGAAATAAAAGAATTAAGAGACAGAGCCGTTAGTGACTAATTTATTATATCACCTCGCGGATACCTGGTACGAAAGCACAGACGATCAATAATTTATTGCAATTCAAAAGTTTTACAATTTATGTATATATTTTATTGAATTAAATTCAATTGTAAATAAGGTAGTTTAAATAAAAAATGGTTTGAGATGGCACATCGTAGAGACCTAGTTCAATTATCATTCTTCAATTATCGCTTGGTCTGACTCTATGTGTCTATGTGTCTTAAACTTAATCCTTCTAAATTTGAATTTATTTGTTTTAATAAATCTAAACGCTCTATTACTATTTTTTTCTATTATCATACCTGATTCTAAAACTCTTGATGTATCTCACAAGTTTCGTAGTCTAGACTCTATCTTTGATTCTAGCCTGTCTCTTTCTTCTCAGATTAATAGTGTTGCTAGAAGCTCTTACTTTCATCTACGTAGAATAAAAAGACTTTTGCCTTTCCTTGACGATCCTGCTCTTCTCCTTCTTGTTACTTCGTTAGTCTTATCTAGGATTGGTTATTGTACCTCGCTCTACTATGGTCTTACTGATTCTACACTCTATTCTTTTCTCATACATATATCTCCATATCTTGTTCTCTTGCACTGGCTACCTAGAATAATTTTTTAAAATTTGCACTTTTATGTACAAGTCTCAATTTAAATTATTTCCTAAGTACTTATCAGATATATTTATTGAACCTAAACGCTCCGGTTCACGATCGTCTTCTTGTTTTCACATCTTCTTAACTCGTGTTAAACACTCTTTTGCTTAATCTGCATTTGCTTTTTTTGGCCCTTTCTATGGAACTCTCTACCTCCTTCTTTTACTTCTTCTCCATATCACTTACTCAAAACCCATCTGTTTGCAAAATTCATTGAGAAGTGTTGATGAATATCGCGTAAGTAGCGCTTTATAACCAAATGGATTGATTGATTGATTGAATGATTGATTGATTGATTGATTGATTGATAAAATGTTATTTCATTTGAAGATTACTTAATTATAATAAAAAGGAGAGAAGGAAGAGAGAGAGAGAAATTGAAGAGAAGAGGATGGCCGCGGAGAGGGTAGCCGAGGATGAACGAAGGAAAGCCGCTGAAGTAGGATGGATGGATGGATGGATGAACGGTGGATGGATAGATGAATGAATGAATGATGGAAGGAAAGATGAATGAGTTGATGAATGGATGAATGATTGAATAGCTAGCTACGTGGATGAATGGATGAATGATTTGTAGATTGCTACGTGGATGAATGAATGATTGATAGATGGGTATGTGGATGAATGAATGAATGATTGATGGATGAATGAGTATATGGATGAAAGAATGAATGATTGATGGATGTGATGATAAATTGATGAATGATTAGATCTCATTGGAAGTGATTAAACAAAATTAAAAATGATTTGATTAAAACATTTGTGGATTCACTCACGAAAAAAATAAACACTTTAAAAATTTTAAAATACTTCTATAAAAATAACTTGAATAAATAAATTTGACCACTGGTGACAGAAATAAAAGTTTTAATTCGTCTTTTCCAGCAACAAACGAAATAATTTTTTAATCGCCAGGAGACGAAGAGAAAGCAGAAATCGGAAGAGGAAGAGAAAAGGCAAAGGGAGAGGGCGAAAAAGTTAGCTGAATTTGAAAAACTGAAGAACCCGCCAAAACCAAATTTTGTCATCACCAAGAAGTCTGGTGATGGAGAGGAAGAGGAAGTAGAAGTGAGTGAATTATGATGGTAGTGAAGTTGTGGCGTTGATGCTAGCGACGGTTTTTATGTGGCTGCCGTAGCAGCTGCTGATGATAATGACGATGATTAAAACGCTGCTGCTGTTGCTCTTGGGATTGATGATGATGATGATGATGACAATGATGATGATAAAGAAGATGAAGATGATGAGGATGATGAAGATAGTTGTAATGTTGTAAGGATAATAATAAACGAATGTTACACATTTTCTTTACAGGAAGAAGAAAAGGTAAATCTATTTTATATTTATTACTATATTATCATTATTTTACCATTGTTATCATCTCTGCCGTCTAGAACGGGGGATTAGAAGTAAAATATAAGAAAATCTCAGAATCCACATTAAAGAAATCATTTTTAAATAAATTTTAACATAATTACTGTAAATTATCACGAAAAACTACCATCCATTAGGTCGGCAAAAACAAGAAATCAAAACAGCAGCTAGAAGCCGAGAAGAAGGCGATTTTGTCGCAGCGAATTATTCCTCTAGACACAAACGGCATGAATTCGTCTAAACTGACTGAGAAAGCTAAAGAGTTGCTAAACTTGATCTACAAACTGGAGGGTGAAAAATATGATCTGGAGAAGCATTTTAAAGCTCAACAATTTGATGTTTGTGAAAGAGTTTTTCTGAAATTTTATTTTTCTAGCAATGATTTTCTTTGTTTTGTTTTTAAATTTTTTTTTCAAAACTTTTCCATCGGTGTTTTTGATTTGTGATGGTGTTTAGAAGCACACAGTTTTAACGTTTGGGGTGAGTTTACTAGAAAAACATTAAAAAAAAAATTATTTTTTAGTCAATTTATTTTGTCTTTCATAGTTTTTTTTCCAATTTAATTTTTATCTCTATTTTATTTTTTTTTTATAATTTTTAATAAAACTTCAAATAAATCTTCCATTTTCAGATGATGGAGTTAGCTGAGAAGGCCCGGCAGATTAATAAAGTCGGGTACGTCTGAAGAAATATAATTATAACTAATTATAATAATAATAATTAATAATTAAATGTTTGGGATTTGAAGTGACTTGTGGTTGAATTATGAGTAGAGATACTAGTAACTAATAGTAGTGGCAGCAGTAACTGCAGCAGCTACAGCAGCAGCAGTTGTGGTAGCAGTGACGGTAGTATCAGTTATAGTAGTAGTACTAGCAATGGTAGTACCGGTTCAGTTACTGCAATATTCAATGGCCCTAGTTTACCAAAAATAAAAGTAACAACAGCAACAACAACAGCAACAACAACAACAGCAGCAACAACAACAGCAACAACAACAACAACAATAACAACAACAACAATAATAATAATAATAAAACAACATAGGATAGCTGGGAATGTACATGATGAACATTCAGTGGCTATAGATTATTATCGAAAAGATTCTTTGTAATAAGATGAGCGTTAGGTAAATTTTTGCCGGTAAATATTTTGTTGGCTCTGAAAAAATTTATGGCTCGCTACGGACGGTCGTTTGTTTGTTGCAAGATATGTAATCCCGTCATCATCATCATCGTCTTCATCATCATCGTCTTCATCATCATCGTCATCATCATCATCGTCGTCATCATCACCGTCGTCATCGTCCTTATCTTTATAATCAATAATCTTGCCATCATCCTCATTATCATCATTATTATCATTATCATCGTTACCACCATCATTATCATCACAAACATCACCATCGTTATCATCACCATCGTCATCGTCATCGTCATCATCATTGTCTGCACCTTAAGCATCATCATCATCATTATTAAAATCATTTATCATCGGCGTTATTAGAATTATTACCGAAATCACCGA